TGGGCTGGAGGTTATTTTCTTGGAATACTTCGCTCCAAGCTCTTCTTGATTTGATAGTCTGTGTCAAGAAGTCTGCCATGATTTTGACAGGTTTTCCTTTATAGGTAATCTGTTTCTTGTCTCTGACAACTTTTAATATTCTGTTCTTATATTGAATTTTGAGATCTTGATTATTATATGCCTGAGTGTAGCTCTGTTTTAGTTGTAGGTGGCTGGAGTTCTGTATGCGTCATACATCTGAATATCATTTCCTTTTCCTATATTTGGGAAATTTTCCTTAATTATTTCTGTGAATAGCCTTTGTAGTTCCTTTGTTTGTACCCCTGCTTCTTCATTCACATTCTTTATTCTTAAGTTATAGATCCTCTTGTCGTCTTCTAGCCTTTGTATTGTTACTGCTTGTTTCCTTGTTAATTTTAAGAAATTTTTCCTTTCATGATTCCACATTACAAACCTGTCCTCCAGTTTGGATAATCTATCCTTAGTTTCTTTCAAGCAGTTTTGTCAGCTTTCAATGGAGTTTTTATTTCTTGGTAATCTCTTTAAATCTGCTTCATGTATTCTATGTTTTCTTTATATTCTTCATCGAACATTTCTCCCCTTTTTTTGTGTTCCTCCATTCTTCTGTCTGTGTATTCTTAAGAGGTGCTTAGCATTTCTTTTATTAATCTACTTATATTTTGCTTTACATGGTTAAATATTTCACTTTTGAACTTGTCTATGAGGTCCCAAAGATATCTCTTTATGTCCACTGATGCCATGTCTGATTTTGCATGTTTGCTGTCTTCAATCTCTTTTATTCACCTCTCCTGGGTCAATGTTCTCAGGGTTGGGGGCTGGGGACTTTTTCTTGTGGCTTCCTTTTCTCATATTTTTGTTTCTTCCATACAGGCACATAGAGGAGGTCCCAGTCCCTTTCTTTGTTGGTAACAGTTCTTCTGAAGTATGCTGGCTAGGTGATCCTGCCCACTCCGGTGTGTTATTGAGGTGCAAACAAGGGCACATATGCTGGCTCCTCCCCTCCGGGTTAGTCAACCTGCTGAGGCCTTCACTGCATTAGTGTGCGGTGCATGTAGGAAATTGATTTGGGACAGCTTATTGGGTCTCAGCCAGGGGCGTGACCCAAGCCAAGCTCACCCCACCAATCTTGTCTGGGAAGGGAACAACTGACTGAAGTCACTGTTGTTCCTTGTTCTTGCCAGTCCTGCCCAATTTCAAAATGTCGTTGCATTGGAAGAATACCCTTTTTGGTGGAAGGGTTTTATTCCTGGCACTCACCACAGGTTGATGCAAGTCCCTTGCCAGCTCCATTATCCATTGAGCTTGCCGACTTCTGACTTCAGTGTGACTGCACTTCAGTGAAACTGTGGTTCCAGGGAGTCGAAGTGGCAGGAATTTGGGCAGCTCAATGAGTCGTGGTCACGCAAGTTTGGGCACTGCAGCAGGAGCAACCAAATCTTAGCTGTTCTAGTAGTACAACCAGGACTGCATGTTTGACTGGTTCTTTTTACTTTAGTTTCTTCCTGGGCCAAGAGGATCCATCTCCCTCTCTCCTGGGCCTAGAGGATCCATCTCTCACTCCCCAGGCTGTGTTATTTTGGCATCTAAGTTGACTATCTCAGGGAACCTCTGTAATCTGCTCTTATCTATCTGCCATCTTTATCAGAAGCGTCAGCTTGGTTTGGTTTTATTCTTTTTTGGTTTTGACCCTTTTCTGGTAAGTTATTTGACTGGTGAATTTGTAAAGAAGAAATATAAAAGCTCAGCTCAGCAACATTTTCCGCTCTGCCTTTTGGGTTCTTTCGGCCATGACAATGCATTCTGGACTACAATTCATCCTACAATGGAAGCCTGATCTCAGGAGACAAAGGAGAGACTCGGGGTTATCCAACTGAGTTAGAAGGTATGTTTAATTAGAGGATGAAGCATTGGCATTTAGCTTCAAATTTTAAGTTATGAGCTTTAAATAATTAGACCAGTAATAAAAATGCAATTTTTAAAATCTAAAAATGAAGAACCTTCAAAATATTATCTAGCCACAAACTCTTGAGTTCAGAATGTTAAACTGTAAATATATAAATGCAACCTTTAGGAAAAATGGATAAAACATGATAAAATTGTTAACAAAAGTAAATTATGGTCAGAAAGTAAATGATTATTTATTGTTTAACTTGTAAATGTTTCATAAAACTATAAAATTACAATGTATGGAATCCATCACAATAGAAAATGATGACTGACTTTTTGAAATAGTGCAAGGGAGAGAGCCCAAGACCACTCTACCACCAAGCTGCATCTCCAGCCATTTTTTATAATTTGGAGACATGGCCTCATGAAGTTGCCCAGGCTGGGCTTGACCCTGAAATCCTCCTGCCTCAGCCTGTGGAGTACCTGCACACCACATGGCAAAATGACGCCCAGCTTTTAAAAATGAAGCCAGCTTCTCTTTTGTACACAACTTTAGCTATAGGGGAAGATGGGATCACTGTTTCTAAGGAATCTAGACAAAGAGTCGAAGGCCAGATGCAGAGAAGGGGTGGAGGCCTGCAGACCCATGGGTGCTGGGCCGGACACTCCACTTCTGCACAGTCACCCTGGGACACTGTCCGCAGTGCAAGCACAGTTCCGTCATCAACCACCAGCCTGTCCTGCTAGGCCAAGAGCAGCCTTCTCATATACTGGTAAGGGATTTCAATACCAGAAAAGATGAGCCTGTTTAACCACCTGTAACCTTCTGTTTTTCACCTAAGTGACCAAGAAACTACGCAGGCTTGAGCAATTGGGCTCTTAATTGACCGCTGTTTTGGGTGCTACCCTCAGATGCCTTTCTCTGGACCTAGGAACTATTCTACTGGTTCCATTGGAACTAGGCATTGAGCAGAAGTGGTTCTCCAACTTTTCCAAGCCTTTAAGATACGCTTTAATTCACATGCTAATCTGCATGAGAGAATCCTCCCTAGTACAGTCTTCCCGAACTTATTTGAAAGAACTCCTTTTGAACAGAATTCATTTTTTTAAAATCAGATTGAAGTTCACAGCAAAGTGGAGAGCTTGTCGCCTCGATTTGCCACACACCTCCCGCCCCGGACCCACAGCCTCCTGGTCACCCATGTCCCTGCAGGAGCTGTGCATACCCCGCACAGACCGTGCACCCACGAGTCCACGGTTCGGTTTGCTCGCTCCTGAGTGCTCGCTCTTAGAACACCACACAAAGTGGTTCCACAGCCCTGAAAATTCTCTGAACTCCATTTTTGGCTCTCCCTCCCTCCACTCTAACCCTTGGAAAGCTGGGGCCTTTCACTGTGCCCAGGGCTGTGCCTTTTCCAGAATATTACACAGTTAGAAAAACACAGCATGTGGGCTTTTCAGAGTGCCTCCTTTCACTTAGTGAGATGCAGAGTTTCCTCTGCCTTTTCATTACTTTTTTTTTTCCTTTTCTTTTTTTTAGTATTAACAATACTTCACAGCATGGATGTACGCAGTTTACTCATCCATTTGACATCTTGGTTGCTTCTAAGATTTGGCAATTATGAATAAAGCTATGAAAGCATCCATTTGCAGTTTTTCATATAGATATGTTTCTAATTTGTGGGGATAAATACAAGAAGCCTTTGTGGTATCATACATTAAGAGCACTATCTCTGACCACCCATTAGGCATGTAGTAGTAGTTGTTTTAATTTGTGTTGTTTTAGTTTGTGCTTCCTTGGTAACACATACTTATTTACTATTTGTACATTTTTGCTGAGGTGTATTTTTAGGTCATTCATTATTTTTAAATTAAATTTCTTGTATTCTCATTATTAGTTTTTGAGAGTTCTTTTACACTTAGCAGTTCCCTGTGTGGCCTATCTCTTGTGAATATTTTCTCCTGGTCTGTGTTGTGTCATTTCAGTCTCTTGATCTGCACTCAAAGACAGTTTTCTTTCATCCTTCCCAATCAGTACATTTTGGTTTCCTTTTTCTTTGTTATTGTTGTTGTTGCAAATTTGTTTTGTTTTATTCCATTAACTAGGACTTCAATTACAGTGTTTAAAATTAGTGGAGTTATTTTTCATTTTTATGAAGAAAAATTTATTTGTTCTCTAGTGTTAGTGTTTTCTATGGCACTTTAAGAAAATATTGCCTAATCCAAGTTAATGAAGATTACACTATCTTCTAAGAACTTTATTAATTTAATTATTACATTTAGGCTTAGGATCCATTTTTGATGAACTTAATTTTTGTATATGGTGTGAGGTCCAATCTCATCCTTTGTATGTTGATAACTGGTTGATCCCATACCATTTGTTTAATTTAAAAAATATTTTTCCTATTGTACTTTCTTTAATTTATTTCTGGACCATCTGGTTGTTCCAGCGAATTTTGTGTTCTTTGGGGTCTTAATGCTTCCTTTCAAACTGTGTAATCCCAGGAAAGGGTGCACTTCTCTTAGTAACTGCTTGTGCTTCACATCCACATGTACAGGTGATCCTCTGTGTCTGAGGGCTCAGCCAACCTTAACGGTAAATGCAGTTTAGGCCTATGATGACTGCATGTGTCCTGAATCTGGTAGATTTTTTCTCTTATCACTGTTCCCTGTATAATAATTATTTACACCGTATGCATATTCTACTATTATAAATAATCTAGAGATGGTTTAAAGTATACAGGAGAAGGCATGCTGGTTATGTGCGTATAATGAGACATTTTACACAAAAGACTTGAACATCTAAGAATATCAGTACCCAAGCTTGTCCTGGAACCCCTTTCCCATGAATATCAAGGAATAACTACACTCAGAATATAGCTTTGATACTTATTCATTGATATTCTAACTCAGGAGTTTAGAAACTTGCTTTTCTGGAGAACAAATTCAAATCTTAAGGTTCACTGTTTGAGTTTCTACTTCATGATCATTTCCCTCTTCCTTGTATTGTTACTAACAATTTATGTATGTTTTCAATCCATGATTCTCCTTCAATAGAATAGGTGCTACTTTCATTTTAGAAAGTAAATACAGTGTTTGCTTCTGCGGCACATATCTAAAATTAGAATGATACAGAGAAGATTAGCATGGCCCTCTGCAAGGATGACATGCAAATTTGTGATGTGTTCCATAGTAAAAAAAAAAAAGAAAGTAAATACAAATTTTAAAATAGATATATAGCACAAAGGAAAGCTCTGTGACTTAGAGTTCATCCAATTTAGATAGTGACAAAGAAGTTGAATAATCCAACTTCTCTTAATCTTACTGCTGAGACTCTTTCCATTTATATCTGAATATTTTTGATACAGTTTTTTTTTAATTTTTATGAAAAAATAAAGCATATGTCATTATTTTCTTCATACCATTACCATTTGTCACATATCATCCCAGAGATGAACCATTCAATTATTCTTTCCCTTGTCAGAACATTTGAAACTTAGAAAAAGATATTAGCTGTTACCAGTATCCAATTATTGCTTTAGTTTTAACTAAGAAAAAATAGTCCCAAAGAGTGAACAGTGAAAGGACACAAGGAGGAAGAGTAAGGAGGAGACAGAGTGTTTAGGATAGTATTTTACTTGTTTTTCTAGGGTACACCAGGTTAATAACACCCAATGAAATCTCCAGTGGTGTGGAGACAAACCAAAGCAATAGTGGAAGCACATAGTAGTGGATAAATGTTTATCTTCTCCCAAGAAATAAAAGTGAGAATCACTGTTTTGGAGAATGATTTGCGTCATTTTCCAGCTCTGAGTCTATGTAAGCCAAAGACAGGCTGCACAAACTTATACCAGTGTTTGAGCGATGTGACCTGCTGCCTTTTGAATGGACAGATCACTTTGTTTGTGCCAGAAGGCTACCTATGCACAGACTGAAGAGGCCAATACTCTCCATAAAAATAAGATATGACACCATATAGCAAACTTCACATCTGAAAAATGTGGTCACATTTTGAAAATATAGGAACCAGGCATAATTAATTTTCAAATGCACACTCTTTTCTCCAACATCTAAAATATTGTTTTAATATATAGTTGATAAAAATTGCTAAAGATGTATTTTATCATGCTATTTCACACTGAATCTCTGAGATGTGTCATCCACCCAGCACATCTCGTTTCCAGTCTCAGTTGCCACTTGTGGCTCACAGCTGCCACCCTGCCCAGAGAAGACCTGGGTCCTCAGAAACCTTTCCTTTCGAGGAGACATCACTGATATCCCTACGGAAAAGTTTAAATGTAAATAGATATGAAGCACAAATAGAATGAAAGGGAGACAAAGGAGTAGGAAAAAGAGAAGCCTATCTGTGATTTTAAGGAGTAAGGCATTGTTGGTCCCAGCCTGAATTTGTAGGTAAGGTAGATTGAGCAGTTGAGAACACACAGAGCTTGCATGCAGACCATTTATTGAAAGCATGTGATACATGGTTCTGCCCTCTCTGAGTGGGGACAACAGGTCAGGTTCCTCCTCTAGTTTTGGGTCTAAAGAAACTCATCTGATATTGGCAAGAGGCAGGGTTGACCTTCAACTGCGAAGCACAAACAAAACGACATCCAAAATTATGTGTCCGTAAGTGAACGAGTGTGTGTGTGTGTGTGTGTGTGTGTGTGCGTGTGTGTGTGCCAGAGATCAAATCCAAGGCCTGCACATGCTAGGCACACATCCTACCACCAAGCTTGAAATTACTTTTTAAATGAAGATGTTCCGGAAAGGAACATTAAACATTAAGTATCAACACCAAGGCGGAGAACAAGGCAAGAATCCAAACCGAGTTGGCAAAAGCCACGAAGGAGGCAGGAAGAAGCCCGGAGGCCCAGAGGAGAGCCCTCCGGCTGAGCCTGAGAAGGTGCGGAGCTGTTAAAGGGTCTGACACCACGGCTTGGCAGTGGCTCAGTAGATGCTCTGTGAATTGCTGGCAAAACCTTAAGTATTGGTATTTTATAAATAGATCTTATACAGTCATCAGAAAACTTAGTAATGGTCCCAGTCCTTCTGCCACATACACACTTAAACTGCCCCGCACAGACGAGCTGCAGTTCTAAGCGGCCCAGAATTTTCCATGCTAATTTAATTCACACCAGGAATCTGGGTGGGATCTATATGTGGGATTAGGTGCATTGTAAATGCATGCCGTTTTTACCTATTCCCTAACTGGAGCCATGCCCTTTATATCCCCATCCAAGTTTGAAACCTGAAGGCCGTACTCTTTCTCAGACCACCCCAACTCAAAGGAACGAGCTGAAGCACTCCAGCTCAGTGGCACTGGTACTTTGAAACAAATCCCTAAAGACATTATTCATAATAAATACAGGTTTTCTTTGGTGTACTTTACTCCTTCCAGGGTTACTAATATTTGTTCTTTTCATTTTTGAAAACTTTTCTGAAAACATCACTCACCTTTTTGTTTTCTACTTCGATCAACCAGGTTTGAAAATTCTTGATCGTGTAAGTCTCTGGAAACTTGCAGTCTATCTCTCTGGTGGGGGCGGGAAGGATCCCGGTCACTTTGGTGGCCAGAGACTGCCAGTGGCCTAAGACTACCTGGGGTGTCATTCTTAGCAAAGACCATGCTATTAGAAAATAGTGCTCCAATTGAAGGCCAGCAGCCTGCTGTGCCTGCAATCCTCTTTGAAGATGTCCAGCAAATACTATCACCATTTAAACCCATGCCAGCTTTGTGCAGACAGCTAAGGGAAAAGATTGGCCGTGCTCCCAGCCCGCATAAAACCAGCACATAGATTTCCAAACTAGGAGAGTGAGAAAAAATAGTGCTGTATACATTTTTAGGCTTTCCTCTTCTAGGTTTCAGTTTTTAATAAAATGTTACCACTTGATTTCTGTAATTACCTGTTGGGGATGAAGGACTAAAGGTGGGGAGTGAGATGGGAGGAAGGAAAGAAATAAAAGTAAAGGGTAATATGTAAGAACTCGAAAACCTAGGCTGCCAGAGGAAAAGGCCTGATAAAAAGATGGACAACTAAAATGAACAGACACTTATCAGAAAAAGAAAAACAAATGCTCAATAAATGTATGAAAATGTTCAACATTTTTGGTCATTAGAGAAACACAATTCCATCTCACTGCAAAAAGAATGGCTGTCATCAAGAAATCAACCCATAACAAATGCCAGAGTAGGTAAACTAGTTTAACCACGTAGAGATTCGTCAAAAAGCTAAAAATAGAAATTGCACACAGCACACCTATGGCCTTCTAAGTATCTTCCTGAAAAAGTTAAAGACATCATATTAGAGTGGTAGAAGCACGCCTGTATTATATCAGCACAGTTTTCAAAAGCTAACTCTCAGAAACAGCCTATACGTCTACCAATAGATGAATGGTTTAAGAAAATGTGGTATTAGGAACAGAGAAGTACTACTCTGCCATAAAGAAGGATAAATCTGAGTCATTTGCAGTAAAAATGGATGCACCTTGAGGCAATAATTTTAAGTGAAATAAATCAGACACAGGATCTTAAACATCACATAGATTCTCTCATATGAGAAAGCCAAATATAAATAAAGGACAAAATAAAAGACACATAATAAGAAATAGGGAGATAGATCTTTAGCAAACAAGAAGGGCTGAAAGATGGAAGTATGGAGGGAGTTGAGAGGGGAAGAGGACTGAGAAAGAAGAATTCAGATGTGTCACATACATGTACCAGCTCCTCAGGAAGAGCGTCACCATTACTTACTACCAACATTTCATAAAAACAAAAAGTGAAGTGGTACCAGAACGAGGGAAAGGAAGGGGTAGAAGGCCAGGATGACACAGGACACACAATGAAGTCGGGGGTCCAGCCTCAGCCTTCATGCTTACCAATTGGGTGACTCTGATGAGTCACCAAACTCACTAAGCTTACTTCGTTTTCATAAATGGGGATCATTTTCAAATCTACTGAGCAGGGTTGTTGAGAGGACAAATGGAAAGAATCCAGGTACAGCAACTGACTAAGCCATCCCTGGACTTGGCAAGAGCACAGCCTGCCATCAGCAGTACAGTAAGGCAGAGGAAATCAAGCAAAGCAAAATACAGTCCGTGCGGTGGTGCTCCACACCCACTTCATTCCTACGGTTTTACGTGCTTATTCTGTCTTCTTTGGTGTCCAGGGAGAGGTTTCATAACATAATTGACCAGTTAGGTAAGTGCTTTCAGGAGCCCTGTGGACAATGTGTCCCCCCAAAATCCATATGTTGAAACCTAAGGCCCAGCATCATGTGTGGAAGGTGAGGTCTCCAGGAATCAATTAGGACATGAAATGGAATTAGCACAGCACTCCCTCGCCTTTCCTTCCTTATGGAGACACAGTGAAAAGACAGCCATAATTGGACAGAAAACAGTTGTCACCAGACGTCAAATGCACTAAATCGTGGCCTTCCTAGAGTCCAGAAGAGTGAAGAATCACATTTAGTTACTTATAAATCACCTCTTCCGTGTCCTTTGTACGACAGCCTGCAGGGACTAAGACCTGGAATACACTTAGGAAGCTGTGCGGCAAGCACCACGGGGTCACACCGCAGCTGCCAGGCACAGACACACACCTCTTGGCAATTAGCTTCCTAAGCTTTTTCCTTAGAACTTTCATTCTCCTTTTCGTAAGCTAGAAGAAGAAGAAGTTACATTTTTCCCATTTGACACGTCTCCATCCCTGACAGCATCTCCTCTCCCATCACCCAGCCCATCCTTCTCAACAGCGGGGACCAGGCGGACTGGGCAGTGAGCCCTCTGAGGCCGGCTCCTCAGTGCACCGCTGCTTCCCGGCTGTCCAGGGTTGCTGTGCACCTTCCTTCAGGAGATGGGACTGCAGCCCGCAAGCCCTAGTCACACGCACTTCTTGTCTGCTTGTCTGCAGTAAGCTTTCTAAACATAACTGGAACTTAAAAAGATGGGGCGTAAAGAAGGCTGGAAGTGAAGCTTGGCCATTTTCCAGAAACCCTCCAATTTTCAAGCAAGGAAAAATTCTCAGGACTTCTCATTATGATACTGACAGTTTTGGCAATGACTTCTCCACGTCTAAGGAAGGAACCGTGCTGCCCCCTAAGAATGAGCACCTTCACTCAGTGGGTCTTAGGGCTGGAAGCCTAACTGGGGGACTGCCCTGCTGCACCTGACTGTCACAGTATACCTTCTGTTCAGG